TTGAAATAATCTGTTTTACTTTAACTATCTTTTTAGACTCTTACATAACAAACATATTTTTAAAAAATTTAAAAAGTATTATGCGTCACTTTAACAAGTCCATAAGTTGTTACTAGACTACATCAGCTTGAATACGTTTAATCTGAAATTGTCACTCTTCTGTCTTAAAATCGTGATAAAGCAAAATTGTGATCATATAAAGAGAATGATCGCATCTATCTAAGTGTCTATGTTGTTTGGGTAAAAGTACTAGCCTCATGTCATTCAAAAATTCGTCTCACAAACTGAACATTTTATTGTTTGGATTTATGAACGAGAAAATTACTAAAGACCAGGCGTTAACATTTTCATCCATATATGGTAAATTCGGTTTACAATTTTCGACAATTGTATCGCCTTTTTTGTGGGTTTTCCCCCTGAGTGCAACCATTTTCATGTGGACTATATTTCACAAAGGAAAACTTTGGGGCACAGCACAAATCTTTTTGATTCTAGTTATGTGTAACGATGTTCTGTTTACGATGTTCATGGGCTTCAGAGACGGACTCCTAGATTACATGGACATGAATTATGGATTCATAGAATACAAGATCTGCAGATTCATGATTGTATCCTGTGTTGTTTTGAAAGTACTTCATGGAACGTCAAATCATCTCAAATGTCTTTCAACGTTAACCCAGGCCCTTTTATTTATCTTTCCCATAAAATTTAAATACTACTACGACAGATTTAAGGTGTTAATTTGTATATGGTTTTTTATTCATTTCATAGTGTGTAGTTTACAATTTATTGCTCCAATTGGTGCGTCTTTGACACCTGCTAGAACCATACAGGAGTTCTCTCCGGGGAAGCCCTTAAAAATCATAGATGCCTGTAAATTAGATTTTGGTGAAGCAGGAACCTGGGATTTCTTTTACCAAACCGACTCTCTCGGGTTTTTCAGCAATTTGGTTTATTTCTATATTATACCTATTTTCATCAATAGTGGCTGTATTATTGCTCTCCATTTTAACATGAAAAAACACATAAAAGTTCTGGAGGTGTTAACAAAGGGTAAATATACCAATAAAGTCAAATATCTTCGTTTGCTAAAAGTCAATATCCTCTTAGGAACCTCCTTCATTATGTCGCAAATTCCAATAGTTATGCTCATGTTTTATCTACACCTGAATATGGACTATATGGATGACAGCTATGTTTATTCCTCCGTATTTCTATTCTTCATGTTCATCTACTTAACATTTACACTTAGCAAACCAGTCGAAATTTTTATTTATGCCAGTCAAAGTAAATCCTTTAGAGATCAACTGCCAAAATTTGTTTGTTCAAAGTGATTTTGAATTTATATCACTACAGAGATTTTCTGCCAAAATGTCTGGGTTCAAAGTGATTGTATTATTTTTTCTTTAGACAATAAAAATATGTTGGTTGATCTTTTTTTATTCTCGTATATTCCAGGTTTTTTTAAATGTTAAAACCTTAAAAGTTTAAAGTTAAGATCATATTGCTTTGTATCAAATTCTGATTTCTTTAAAATCTCAAGTGAAGAATAATAATGTGTTTTACTTTGTTTAAGGTCATATTTTATCTATCAATTTATATCTATTGATATGCTTAGAACTGTGCTAATGCCTTGTGTTTTGATTTAAAAGGTACTTTAGTAATTCTCTTCAAGATAGATGATTTTGCTTTGTTTTAAATAGGAATTAGCTTATTGTAAATAGTAATTGGCTTTTTCTTGAGAATTGTAATTCTAATTACATGTATATTATAGAAATTACATTAGAATTTTTTTATGTAGTCTTGGAAGTGTTGGAGTCTAGCATAGGAATTTCTATTTGTTGTTTAGAGTAAGCATTACGCCTTTTGTAGTTACGTTGTAATCAGTGTTTCAGATGCAAGTACTTATTTTTTAGTGTTGTTAAAGAAATAAATCGCATTCTTTCTATCATTTTATATTATTTTTTTTTTAATTCTAATGTTTTTACCCCTATAAGGATCTAATTCCATATCTTTCTATAGCTATCATGGATCACGAAATTAGTTTAAAGTGCTTAGACACAGATTTAAAATTAATATTTTTCAAATGATCAGTATAATACTACCACTTATATATAGCAATAGCATATAACACGAAAACATAATTTAAAAAGTTCCTTTTATCTGTAAGTTATTGGAATTCTATGAATTTTCTGGATTATAGTTTTTAATATCATTGACAAATACACAATAAAATCGCTACTTTTCTTAGGTATTGAATATAAATTTAAAATTTGTGAAAGGATGAGTCAGTCAAACGCGTTCAGAAATATGAAGTTTCAATAAAATATTTATATTTTAGTTCGAAATGCCATTAACAATATACATGTAAGTCATGAAATAAAACAGCAAATTTGAGAAAATATTAACTCAAAATTGTGTCAAAATTTAACGTCAATGTCATAAATTAGAACAGATTCAACACTAACATACTTTACATAGTAAATCTTCCTTGCATGTTCAAATTCTAATCATGACCCCTGAGGGAGGTTGGAAACAGCCAGGAATTAGTTTTTTACATAGGAAAACTATTTTGAAATCTTCCTCTTTAGAACAAGAAAGCCATGATGATTATCCCTATCGATAAAGAAGCATCCTTTGGTAGTGTACATTCTCCAAACCATGCCTCCCATCCCCCTTTGGTATGCATTATAATGCTAGATCATTAAACAAAAACGGACCTCCAATATATCAGAAGTGGGATCAAGTCCCGTGGAGGAGTAAGCATACCCTTTCGACGGGTCAAATCCTCCGCGTGCTCAATTTCATGTTCGGGAACTATCGGAATCAAGAGGCCCACGCGCCTTTAGGTCACCTGAGTATCATGTAACATCTTTCCAACCAAAGGCCATGAAATTAACATGTTTGGTTGAAGCACTCTTGCTCATAATAACAATAAACTAAGTTAGTTTATTTAATACCCAGAAGCAGAGGAGAAGATTTTTGAAGAATTAATGCATTTTCACTATATAATCAATATAGCCCAAGCCTTACACTAGAACCCCTGACCTTTGGGCCATAAAACTCACAATATGGAAGATGCACTCTTGTTAATCATAACACTGTACTTCGTTAGTTTGTTTAATACTCGGGAGCAGTGGAAAAGATTTTCAAAGAAATAATGCACTTTTACTATATGATCAATAAAGCTCCACTCTAACACCATAACCCCTGACACAGGCGTCATGAAATTCACAATTTTCGAAGAAGCACTCCTGGTCACCATAACAGTGTAATTAGTTTGTTTGTTTAATACCAAGGAGCAGAAGAGAAGATTATCAAAGAAATAATACACCAGAAGTGCTAGATAGACCTTTGATGGAAATCCACCAGTTTGACTGGTATGATAAGGTCCGATGAATCCACACACTCTCATTAAACTGTTAGAAAACAGCACTTATATGATACTGCTGATATGAGACTGCTGATATTCTTGTTTCAGAAATCTGTTTGTCAATAACTTACCTTGTTTTAGAAATTTTACATACGTGGAGCATGCCCTTGCGTATCGAATCAACTGAGATACATGAACTCCGTATGCAGGTGATGAAGGTATATTGCTGCATAAGTACGGGAAGTTGACGATTGAAAAGTTAAAGTCATCTCGTGTATCCTGTAGCTTGGCTGTTAGATTACCATTAATGTCTTTCTCAAGCAATATGTCCCACTTTTGTTTACAATTAGTATGTTTATAACAAAAGAATTTTGCAAATGACCAATGACAAAGTAAGTGAATTTACGAATTTCAATTTTATTGAAAAAGCATCTGTCAATGATATAAAAAAGCCTGCACTTTAATCGTGGGGAATTTAAAGATGAAAATTCGTTTGTTTTTAAGCTGTCGATTTTAGTAAAATCCTGTGATTTCAAATTTTCCAAAAGTTTCTTGGAATTCTTAAGTATCAACATATGATTTTCATCACTTCTTGAATATATTGTTGCAAAGTACTCTTGAAGTTTCTCTTTCACTAATGTTAATATGTTAATGAGGAGTAATGAAAGAGGCTTGGTTGAACATTTACTAGAACCTGCTAAGAATCTTCATTTGTAAGGATTTATATGAAGTATCGGAATCCAATATAGATATGTTTATTCAAATTCAAGAAAAAATGTTTAAAAAAGCTTTATTGACCATATCCAAAACTAAAATAAAACTAAAAACTAAGTTCCTTAATATAAAGCGCTTTTATTTGCAACACTTCTAAGTTAGTCAAAAAGATTTTTAAAGTTCTACATGTGACAATTATCAAACTGTGACATTTTTGTCAAGATGTTACTTTTCGTTGAACAAAAGATTATTTATCGAGGTCTATGAGGAAAACATGCCTTTTTTTTCTTTATTCTGTGAAGCTCTCGGATCGAGGCTTCAAATGATTTTTTATTCATGAACGTCAGTTCCGTTTTTAAATTACTCTTCATTCCAATATTTGTAGCGAATCAGCAATGAAGACAGACAGGGCACTTTTTATATGCGCCTGGCTCTCTATGATTATTCAAGTGAATGGACAGTATTTTCGGGAATTGTATTATAAAAAAGTCGAAATATGTGGAGAAAATAATATTCTTGGATTGTCATCTAAAGTTAAGGAATTACACTTAAATATTGGTCTTTCTGATAGAACGGTCCGCTGCGCGTTACGATGCTTTGAGGAAACAAGATGTGACGGGATTAATTTGTGTAAGAATGAATCAGGAACGTTTTGCCAATATGTGGAAATTTTAAATTCAGTATGATGTGGAGATATTTTTGGATGTCGTCAATTGCATATTTATACAAAAGGTAATAATAATAGCTGTCCTAACACATAAGAAATAATTTTAAAAAAATGTATCGACAATGTATGTACAAAAAAAATAATTTTTAATTATATAGAATGTATCTAAGTGCATGTACAAAGTTTTAATATGACTGTAAAAAGTTATCACACAATTTTCAAATTTAATGTTTTACTTAGCTTGATGGTATACCTTTATTCGATAACAATACATCCGTGACACTGGAAATGACATCACTATCAATGACATCATATCCTGTTACCTTGGAAATGACATCAATGTTGGGGACATCACAATCTGTTACCCTGGAGACGACGTCACTGTCAATGACAACAACCTTGTACGACCCTAATTATCCATGGAATGGAGGTAAATATGAAACCTCTTATGCCCCCCATTCTCTCTCTGAAACACACGAAACTGCTTAAACCCCCACCCCTGATTTCAGTCAATTATTTTACTTGTATTTTCAGACTGTTCCAATGTTTTGGGTGGTGGTCCACCAGCAAGTAATGTCTACACAATTATTCCATCGGGAGCACCAGGGCCAATTTCAGTCTATTGTGATGTGAAGCCAGAAGGAGTTTTTACACGCATCATGGAGCATGGCGGGAACTGTGGCGTTGACGACTGGAACCTTCCTATGTCGGATTACATCAGTGGATTTGGGCAGGATGTATCGTGCGATCATTGGATAGGACTACAAAATATGTTCTATCTTACAAACACGATCAGTAACTACAAACTGGAAATCAACATAAGGCTTGAAAATGGTAACAACGATTCGATACATTATGGATCTTTTTTGGTCAAAGATCCAACGGCCTGGACATTGCGACTTGATTCATTCAGCGGAAGTACCAATAATTACCTTGGCAACGGTTTTGATAACCTACCCACCGCAAGCAGTGCGGATTTAATTGATAATGAAGATTTTGAAGCAAATGGAGTGAATGTTTACGGATGTTCAGGAGGGGATAAATCTGGGTGGTGGTTTTCTCCTAATTGCTTGAATACAAACCTTTGTTTACCTTTAGGACAAGTCGAAAAAGCACTTTATCCTACAACGAGACAAATATTATGGCCAGAATTATCAGGAAATGATCAAGTAGTAAAACATGTAACAATGCAAATTAGAAAAACAAATTAGAATAATGAAGTAAGTTTTGAAACCTTCAAATTAAAAGTGAAGATGTTTGGCTTTATGTTAATACAAAATTAATCATAATTATATTGTTCATGTTTAAGTATTTTCCCCCCTCCTTCGCAAAAGTTAGGGAATATTAATTTATCGTAATTGTCTGTCCGTCTTCAGGCTTTAAAGCTTTAATCTTGTTCACATCTTTTGAATGGGAAGAGTTTAGACCTTCAGAGTCATGTGTTTTACTCGTGACAAGATCTTTCTAAATGCACTTTTTTTTACCCATAGCCTTTGTTTTCCCTGAAAAATATACAACCTGTATATATTGAGGGATCTCAAAAACCTTCCTCTCCTCCAAAATTACGTAAAAACATAAAATTGTGTGCTTTAAAACCAGGAAATATAAATCAATTATTTTTCCATTTCTTAAAATCTAGGGAGAAAATTCAATGAAAATTTGAGAAGAAAGAGGAGCTCGCAATAGCCATTCCTGTGAATGAAAATGATAAACATCTAAATTGTAGAGATTTCTCTTTAGAAAAAGGAAGTCCTGAAAATTTTCCCATCGCCTTTCGTATCACCACAGTTGGCGAATAAGGACAAGAAACAAGTAATTATTTATGATTTATAAATACATGTACATGTACACCAGGCTTGTGGGTGAATTATATGGTAAAGTAATGCATTACATTACCATTACTTCATGAATTTTGAATTAAACTTAAAAAAGGGTAAGGCAGCACATTTACATTGGCCTCTGATAAAAGTAGAGTGCCTATGTTTTAAGCGCTAAGCGCATGCTTAGGTAGGCATTGAAAATTTCCATGGTCTTTTTATCAACTCCCCCTATCGACCATGTTTACTAGTATCTCTTATCAACGCCCCCTACCGAGCCTAGTATGTTTTTTTTAAACATGTTTCATAACAGAGAATATATATCTAGGTCATTCTTCGATGGATAATTCTTTTCACCGATGAATTGATAATACTATATCAACAATTGTGTTAAGTTTATGTTTATTGTCCGTCAATTATCATACAATTTCCTCTTACAGAAAAAAATGTTATTCTGTGTATGTGTATTATTGAACGATGAAATTTTCAATCCCTGGTCGGATTCTGCTCGTGTATAGATTTCTAAACTGAGAACCGGTATTGTTTAATTTTTATTAATCAGAATTCGTGTGTAGATTTCTAAACTGAGAACCGGTATTGTTTAACTTTTATTAATCAGAATTCGTATTCGTGTGATCTAGTTAAGAAAAAAAGTTTTGTCTGTCATGGTAACTTCTCGGCAAAACAAGCTCTCTTGATACATTTGACAAAGTTCTCCATCGAACGTGTGTTTCGACCAAGGCAAACTGATCTTGCGGACACAGGTATGAGTACTGTTTGTCAGGAGATTGGGCGACCGTAATGCTACGGACTCACGAAATTTACACCAGTTCCATAACCAGACAGGACAGTGCAGTTTTTTTTAAAAAGTCATTAAATACTGTTTAACATATCAAATCTAAAAGTCGAATATCTTTGGATATGGGGTAACCCATATATGTTCTTGTTTAAAATAGATGTTGTATATTATGTTCGATTTCAAAATGACGAACTCTTTGAGGAGTGATACAGCACTAAGCTTACGAAATACAGCACCACTGAGCAAGTTATGTAACACTACCAGTCATCTAAAAATATATACAACAGGAAATCCCCGACCCTCTGTCGGCTACTTTTAGCGTAGGAGTTATCATAATAGGTGTTAATCAGTACAGTCGATATTAACTTTCGTGTGTGTACGGAAATACTGTGTTTGTGGATACTGCAGTCTATAATGGCGGATTATCAATATGGTGCCAGTTGTAACATAACCACATATTACGTCATAATCGGTGATGAAATAACATGTAAAATGTTGTTAAAATCAACAGTTCTTGTGTAATTTTATTCTAAATTCAAAGATTGTTTTTTAAACATTTAATTTTGGAAATTATTATAAATAAAACTTTTAAAGATCTGGCCATCATTTAGATATTGTGAAGTTGCCCAATCCACACATTAGTTTCTCTCTACCCTGCAGTCTGACGTCAGTGACGTCATAGACGTAGTGTTTGAATTCTCAGTGCAGCGAGATCAAGTACACCCTCCGTCATGATCAGTTTTATTTCATAATAATTTAATTTTATTTGTATTCTCGCCTCTCATTGGTTGATTTCCAAAAAGGAACGCATAACATTTTGTATAATCTGACACCCCCTTGACGACCAGCTTAATCATCATATCCATGCAATCCCCTCATTTACAGTCCTTGTTATTCATGGAAATTCCAGATTTAATAAATGTACCTTCAACTTTAAACAATTACTCGTTCTTACCTCATGTAAACAAACATCATGGCTGCAAGATCTATGTATCAGTTATTACCTCCCCTCGCTTCAAATCACTTCCGTTACTACGGTTGTATTATTGCGCGGTAAATTTGAACTTATAAAAAGCAACACAATTTTACATCAAAAGTTGTTTAATTATTTTAAAATTAAATTATAAGGAATGACTTTAATTCTTGGCCATATTATCGAGTATAATCTGGCACTATTTTACGCTTTTTTATAATCCGCAACCAGCATTATACACCGAACACTGCCCCAAACCAGATTATACTCGATACAGCACCATGTATCGTAATAAATTTCTGAAGCAGATTTTTTTAAATTAATATTTTTCCATGTTTAGTAACTGAGATTCTCTCTATTTAAATAATTTTGAATGTTTATGTTTTCGTGTGACGTCACAATTGATTTCCCGCATTCGGAAAATACACACGTGAAGCGTTTTTATCATGCTTACGTCTAATTCAACTATGTTCTTTATTGAGGTAAGCTTCACCCTGTGATATTTATATATGCAGTAAATAATTACGATGAAGGACTGACATTCAATCGTAAATTTAGAAATATTTATTGACAGAATTTTTTCCAAATGAGGTTTTTGTCGTTGAAGCTGCCTTGCAAAATGCAGAAATTATCCCACCCAAATACTATATAAAATTAAAACAATTGCTTTCAGTGTGTATTTGAGTATATAGTGTTAAATATCTGTGTAAAAATTCGTGGATTATGGGCCCGTAAACCTGAAGTATCTAAACTCCATACAAACTCTAAACCGGGCGGTATTTGTGGGGCGATATCTTTTAATTAATCAAGAAATCCCATAACAGGACCGTTTTAAAATGTTAAGTTTATATTAAATTAGTAATATAAAAAAATACGAAAATTGACAGGAATTTTTTCAAAATAAAATAAGTACTGGCAAACACCAATTATGTCACAAATCTTATTTCTGCAGTGTAATTCGAAAAAGTTAATAAAAGTACCTTAAAAAGGTTTAATGCGCACATGTATTTAAAAGTCTCATCAAAATTTCAAGAATTTAAACATCAAATTGGAATCTAATAGTAGTATATGTAGAAATCCTTGAAAAAAAAATTAACTAGGTTATATATATATAGTTTGAATCTTCAATTTGTATATTCATTTCCTAATTTTCACGCCATCTTCTAGGTCTTTATTTCAAACAATGTATACAAACGAGCCTTTTTTATTATATTACACTTGCATCATGCAGAGAGCTATCAATGATAATGATTTCACAGCATCTCATTATCCATTAGTAGCACAAATTTTAAATTTGAACGCATTTATATAGATAGTCTATACTTAATTAATTTGTAGTCTTTACCTGTAACAAAATATTTTGATGCAAAAAATTTCTTTAGACTGAACGCTTGGGTGTTGTGCCTATTTCATTCTTGTCAGCACGTTTTACATCGTCGTCGCAAACCACTGCTAAAATGTACGATCCTCTGTCATTAGCTTTATGCGGACTATGGACCGTGGCTTGAGACGGTGGTTTTACATGATAGTGAAAAAACTGAAGCATTTAAAAGTATTTCCGCCAAAATGAGTCAAAGGAAAATACTCACGAATTTTAATATGACATATTTTTATTTCTAAGTAGAAGGGTATTTAATTTAACATTTTTATTTTAAAAACAAATATTTACAAATCAGCTTCAAATATAACACAAGAAAAAGAATGGTCAAACGTTTTTAATTTTCGGTACAAATCAATTATAATTCATGTGCATGAGAGTCAGAGATGAAGGATAAGAATAGTTTTTCATCAAAATGACAAAAAGACAAATGCAATATCGATCCTTATACCCAAAATTGATATTATAGCAATGTAATGAAAAAAGAAGTAAAGTCTTCGGGGATTTTTGTTACATGTTGATAGCAACATGCTGCACGATGAGGGATTGGTATTACAATAAATGTGAAATATTGAAAAAAAATTGTTTTGTTATTCAACTGTACCATATTCCACACAAAGTTTAAAAGTATACCTAGTAACTTTATTGATTGCGTGTATATATTACTAGTTCCCATGCTAGGATTTTTTTTGTAAAACCGTTTATATAAAAATTATAACTTTATAAATATCTATTAAGGGGAGAAAAATTAAAATAACTAAAAACACTTCAAACAAAATATAAAACCATTTTAAAAATCTTTTATTCATAATCCTAATATTCGTATAGATTATATAGGGACTATAAATAGACTATATAATAATACCTAATAATATAAAAATAATATCTCATTTCTCCCTGTGCACTTTCAAACACAACTGCCAATAGATCGATCATCTATGCGGCCGATAATAACATAAAAAAGGCACGGTCGTCGACAGTCAATTTTGAATTTCAGTAAGTATGAATAATATTCTTGAGAGCAGAATGATTTATTGTTCAAAATTTCACTAGAGAGTTTTGTGTTCTCCACTTTACGTTCAAGATAAGGATATCAGCAACATCTTAGGCATTCAAAATTTGCCCCCCCCCCCCCCTTAAAAAACAAAAAACAAAACAAACACATCGCAGAAACATGGACCCACAATGCAACACAAGTAATCTTGTTCTCCGGACTTGTAACTATGGTGCGGAAAACAAAGAAG